GACGGAAAACATGAAATTTTGCATTAATCTTGCGCCACCCTTGCACAAAACGACGATCATTTTTCTAATTTCATAGATAACAGAAGACTCTATTTTTTCCCCTGACTTTAAAGCTGGATCCGCCCCTGTGTTGTTGGGAAAATCTAGATGACTTTTTTGAGTTGTTTGAACAAAGTAGGAAAACGTTAATCAGAAAAAATGTTGATGACCTTTTTTTTAGATGGCCAAATTCCAGTGTCGTGTCTCGTAAAGCTTTAATAAACGACGTATAACTCATTAACCGATGAGTTATAACTCGTTAACTCAGACAGCGGGAACGACTCAATAGCTTAACTCAGCACAGTGCCCAGGCCTACCGAACAGTTCAATTTTTCTTCAGTATCAAATTTGGTTTTGGTTGGGTCATTTCGACTGGTGCTGTCTCACCTGCACTCATGACTAAAGTGACTCCAACATGCAGAAATCGGGTTCACGATTACACTGCTCCAAAATTGTATAGTTTAGCTAATCGCCAGAATTTTCGGCAAAATACAGGGTGCAACAACCAAGTGTCGTGTAGGTATGTTTTAATGGATTTGCACTGTTGATGCCAAAATAGCATAAAATTGCACTTCAGTTAACCGGTAATCGTCCACCCTGTATGTATAAAATAACGGATTTTTCACTACTTTGCCGAAACTTTACTATTTTCCTGACGCCCCGTCGAAGGAAGCTGGTAGCAACTGTCTATTTTAATAAGTAAAAAATAAGACGCGCCTCAGGCGAAAAACAAGTAGTAAAACTCAGCTATTTTATAGTGTTTTGTCGAAGGTTCCCACACGAAACTATAAAAGCATATGCAAGCAACATTAGTGTATCATTCAGGCCTTAGAAGTGCTGCCGATGATCATCAAATACATGAACAGGTACATCGAACCTGACGAGAAAGACCAACTGCAAATCCCCAAGGTGATAATTTTGTGCTTGAGCTTCATATGGAACCAAATAGCATGCTGTGAAGACAATGCTGCAAAGTTTGTTAAAATGGGCGGAGTCTATTTGATTCTGGACGTTGTAAAGGAACGTAACTTAGTCTCAGAGTATTTAAAAAGTTATGTAAATCAGCAGGTTGTTAACTTTTAGGCGGGTTGTCTGCCAGTCCAACTAGTGGCGCTTGGGGCCCTAATTGATCTGTGTGAATCAACCCAATGCATTCCCTATCTAATCACGTGGAGAAAACACGGCCAGGGCATCCAATCTTTGCTCCTCCAGGTATTCCGTGATGAAAATGAGCTGCTGGACGTCAGGACAGATGAAAACGGGATAATTTCAAGTAAATTGCGAAATTGCATTGTAGTAATTTTGCCCAAACCAACACCATGGGGGTTTTCTGCTGCAGATTCTCTTCATCCATTAGTTGGGATGACGCAGTTCTACGAAACTTACTGTATGTGCCAGAAGCATGTTGGAAACGCTGCGATTGGCGATATGTTTATCAGCTGCCGACCAAAAATCTACAGTCTTTTGCAGATTTTAAACCACAAACAGAAGGAAACTGTTGAAATAGCCAACGAATTTTATAAGGTTTATGGGGAAGAGCTGTCGCTTAAAGACCAGGTTA